GTGAAGACTTTCGCAATAGAGGTGACAACTGGCTCGGACAGCAGCTGCAATATGCAGGCGAGATGTAGGAATCTTAGGTATCTTAGGTTGCTCTTGGTAAGATACGATTGAGGTTAGGTTCGAGCACGGCGATTGGAAGAGTCCACGTGCTAAGTCGCTGGACCGAACCACACTGCTCGAGTTTGAGAATACAGGTAGTAGTAGTAGTAGTAGTAGTAGTAGTAGTAGTAGTAGTAGTAGTAGTAGTAGTAGTAGTAGTAGTAGTAGTAGTGGTAGTAGTAGTAGTAGTAGTAGTAGTAGTAGTAGTAGTAGTAGTAGTAGTAGTAGTAGTAGTAGTAGTAGTAGTAGTGGTAGTAGTAGTAGTAGTAGTAGTAGTAGTAGTAGTAGTAGTAGTAGTAGTACTAGTAGTAGTACTAGTAGTAGTACTAGTAGTAGTACTAGTAGTAGTACTAGTAGTAGTACTAGTAGTAGTACTAGTAGTAGTACTAGTAGTAGTACTAGTAGTAGTACTAGTAGTAGTACTAGTAGTAGCTCCTCCGGTACGTTAATTGGACTGTGTTAGGTTCATTTAGTGGCGTCGAAGGGCACGTCAATTTCACTTCAGTGGACCATTCAGTGTTCCTAACGTTGGCTTTCTATAATGGGAAGTCATCGGATGCGACCTTTACAGCGAGGGCAGGGTCTTCCCTCGCAGATGGTCGTATGATGTTGGAGAAAAGCCCAGCATTGAAAGTAATGACTCTTCTAGGGATTGAACTAGGGTTGGCTCTATGTTGGTCTTGGAGATATACCAGTAGGCTGTGATGGCAGGTGAATTCTTTTCAGAATCAAATGCGCGGAAGCCTTTTGTACAAGGCAGATGGCTGTGCTTGGGAAGTCGTCTCCTTAGACTCGGAACATGTTGTTGTTCGAATCTACGTTTATGGTTCGGAACCCAGCAAAGTCCAGATCCTCAATTTTCAAAGGTAGATGGCGTATTCGACCTACTTTGTATCTTGCATGGAGGAACCTATTTTGTATCTTGCATGGGGGAACCTACTTTGTATCTTGCATAGGGAACCTACTTTGTATCTTGCATAGGGAACCTACTTTGTATCTTGCATAGGGAACCTACTTTGTATCTTGCATAGGGAACCTACCTTGCATGTTGCATGGGGAAACCTATTTCGTATTTTGCATGGGAGACCTATTTCGTATCTTTCATGGTGGAGGACCTATTTTGTATCTTGAAGGGGGGGGACCTATTTTGTATCTTTATCACATGACCTTGTTGTTATCTTCAGACGTTTTCCAGAGGCTATTGAATGCCCCTCAGTGACTGCAATGATACCGGAGTCGATGCT